GGTACACATGTCACCTCGACACCGGGTTACCTAGCCTCTCCTCAACTGAAAATACTCGTGGATTTCTCTTAATGGAGATTTTCTGTCAGTTTTCTCGACAAATGCAACCTGACTTCTACACTTCTACACGCGTTCTTGGATAAATTGTAATATAAACCGAAGCGAATTCAGTAAATGGCTGAGAGAACCAATAAGCAGGCGAGCAACGCCTGTGCTATTACACTGATTACACTGACGTTTCATATCTAGTTTTACTCTTGGTTATTCAGCCTAAGCGTAATCATAATCATTTTGATTTAAGCGGATACCAAACTTAAAAAAAAAAAAAAAAAAAAAAAAAAACAACTGAAGGTCAAAGTCAACAATGGTAGGCACATTCTCCCTTAAGTATCTAGTCTTACTTTGAATTGATCGTAATCTGCTGTAAAACATAAACTGAAGACCATCAAACATGCACATTGTAAGTGTGTTTTTCTTGTGGGAATTCCGCCCTAACTGTTTCAATGCTTTCCTTTGAAAGTTGGTTAGGTTTGTATACATTTCGTAAGAAAAAGCGCACAAGGCTAACAAATCGTTTTGGTAAAAGGTTTTATAAGAATACGAGTCTACAATTCAGCTACGAGGAACCTACAGAAAAAGTTTTTACATTCTCGCTACTTATTAAACCAGAACGGGGTATATTAGGCGATAATATTAAAATTATTTAATAGCGTGAGACACCATGGTAAATGATATGATTGAGTTCTTCAAAAAAGTTAATTCGGCATTTTTGATATTTATAATGATGAAATGTAAATGTCTCATGATACCAAACAACCATAAATAACGGAGTTGCCCACCTTCTTTAAAATGTATTTTTCTAACGTGAATCCGCTTCTTCTGTATCAGTGCTATATTTCGAAAGGTTTGATGTAAGAAACAGTAAACAGGGCGATGGATAGGTTGAGGAGAATTTTTTATTAAAGTTTATAACTTAAATAATCTAAAAATCAGCTATAAGAAACCTGCAGGAAAATGTTTTGTTCTCTCTCTACTTTTAAAACAGGTCAGCGACATAAAAATTGTCATTCAATGAGTGAATAACTTTTAATGATTTTATAGTTCACCCCATTCTTCTTTGTATGTTTGCTACTGTCTTGACAGAGGTATTTCTTCATTTTAGTACGACTTACTCCGGCGTTTTGTTTTTGTTTTTGTTTTGTTTTGTTTTTTTTAATTTATTTTGTAGCAGCTATTTGAGTTCAAAGTCTGAAGTCATTCATTTCATGAATATAAAAGTGTGCTTTAGAGTAAATAGTGACTAAAAGTAGAGGAAGAATTGATCGACGATCAGGGTTAGCCAATCAGGTTATCCAAAAGTAAAGCCAATTTAATGCAAATAGAACTGTATTAGAGAGTAGAGATTCAAGGGAATTGAAAAAGGACTGGTCGAGAGTGCTTAGTGCTTGTCGCTAAACATAGTGCGTTCTTAGGAGAGTTTCCCCCGCTACTACAACTCAACCCCATTATGCGGAAACTAAGTACAAGGTCATTGCTATCTCATTAACCGTTGGCGTAAAAGGGAAGGGAAAATAGATGCCACCACTCAGGTACTGTTTGATTTACGGAATGATCCCATTCTGGTTATTCACAGTTTTATTCAAACAAAAGCTTTTGCAACATGGTGGGTGCAAAAGTTTTCGTGGGTTTCAGAGGATTTGTTCAAATTTATTTCTCTGTAGCCATATTTTATGGGTAAAGGGCTTATAAATGTAAAATTGAATATGAATAGAATGTTGTTCATGTTGTCGTTGTTGTTTTTTTTTTTTATTCCTTAATCGCTCGGCTTCTCATAGGAGAGAAAATATGCTCCATTTATTTCTTTGGCAAGTATACCCAGCACCTTAATTGGAAGAAAGCAAACAACAAGTGTGAGGAACGAGATAATAGTTCCCTTGTCACCATGGAAACCGACGAAGAATGGAACTTCGTCAAGAAGTTGACCAAGAAAGACGCACAACCAAATAGACGTTGGTTTATTGGCTTGGAAAGAGTTAACAGATCTTATACTTGGCGCTGGTTGACTGAGAAAATAGCGTGGGTTAACGGAACGTCTCTTAGAAACTGGCGTTGGAATGGAGGAGAACCCAACCATCATAAAACAGAAGATTGCGGAGAGATGCTGAGGGATGGAAATTATAATAACATAGAGTGTGAAGCGGAAAAAAACGATGACAATAGAGGATATATATGTGAAAAGCAAGTCAGTAAGTTATAATCACGCCAATCTATGTTTATCAGAGAACAAATCGCAGAGTGCGATGAAAAAGTTTTAATGCTGTAAATGGCTTGAACCCGGTGGTAACATGTGAAAGTGTAGTGTGATCGTTCGGATGTTAAATGCAATGACCAATAACATCACGACAAAACTGACCAATCATTTTACACGAACTGA